GAGACATAGGGAAAGGGGGGAGGGAGAGAGATGGGGAGGAGGGGAGAGACACAGGGAAAGGGGGGAGGGAGAGAGATGGGGAGGAGGGAGAGACACAAGGAAAGAGGGGAGGAAGAGACACAGGGAAAGGGGGTGGGGGAAGAGAGAGACAAAGAGGGAGAAATGAGAGAGAGACACACAAGGGGAGGGGAAGAAAGAGGCAGAGGGGGGAGAGTGAGACTGGGAAGGAGAGGGGAGACATTGACACAGAGGAGCAGAGACAGCACACACTGCCCCCCCCCCCCACACACACACACACACACCATACACATTTTACACACTGCCCACCCACACACTGAACCTTTCACACACATTGCACCACTGCTCCTATACTCTACTACAGCCCCATATCCCAGCAGACTCCAGGTAAGTTGTCAAACTGTTCTTAAACGATTTGACGACTTACTCTGGGCGGGGGTGCCGACGCTCCTGGCACCATAACCACTACACAGAGGAGTAGTGGTTATTGTGCATGGAATATTTCTTTAAATAATCTACAAGTGCCCCTCTCAGGCTTAGGCTCTGGATCCGCCACTAGTATATGACATGTATATTAATGTGTGTATTAGTTATATATATATACCTATTATATTTACACATATTAATGTACATTTATAAATGCATAATACACAGAGAAATTTCATTAATATGTACCATATGTAATGAGCAGATATTGGCCCAGTCTTGTTGCTAGGTGCATACTCCAGCACAATAACATATTTAAAGTGAAGAGCACACCCACAGGACTTCAAAATAAACATTTTTACAGTTGTGCCCTACATACATTCACCATTTCAGTCCCATTAACAAGCTTTCCTTAATATGTCAAGGTGGTTGGACTGAAACATTGATTACATGCAAAGGCACGTCTGCTTAAAATAAATCTGCACTTTTGTTTATTTTGAAGCCTATGAGTGCGCTTTTTACGTTGAAGTACTTTTTAATTTTAAGTTATCTGTTCTAACTCTGTATCTGCACACTATGCTGGCGCAACGCATTATGGGGCTGGTAAATATTTTTTTTCCAGGGCTGCTTTTCATTCCCAGTCCGGCCCTGGTGGCCGCCTATCCTAGTTAAGCCAGTAACACTAAATAATAACCTTAAACCCCTTAAGACCGCAGCCAAATGTACAAGTTGTGATCCAAAAAAAATGTAAACAAACCACAGAATTTTACTATATGTCTGTTCAACAATAATTTACCTCTTTCATACTAAGTGCACCCACACGTATTATATATCATTTTGTTCAGGGGAAACAGAGCTTTCATTTCATATCAAACATTCATATATGGAATGCCATTTTATATGAATAAAATCTAAACAACTTTAAAAAATAATATTTCTGTATTTTGTACTCAGCACTGTGAATCTTTTTTGTCAGATTAAATGTTTACTTAATCAGCTTGTGTCTCTGTTCTCTATGAGCTTCAGTCTCCAGAGGAAAGCTAAGGTAAACACGTTACCAAAAAGGGTTAATTATATGTGCTTGATCAGTAAAAGTAGAACTGTGATTCTATAATTCTCCTGTGTCTGGGGTAACCTAAGACGCCCGGGTTTAAAGTCTTGGTGGTGGCAGTAAAGTGTGTACTAGGGGGTTAGTGTAGAAGGGATTGCAGGGGTTAATTGAGTGGTTGCTGGGACTAGCAACAGGTAACCAGGGGTCTGGTGTCATTAACCCTGTCACTTCTAGTCTTTTGTAGTAGCCACTTGGACACAAACCCTAGCCAAATTTAGCGTTAATTTATTTATTTTTTTTGCATTTTTCACATAAAATCTGTACTTTCACTGATAATATTATTGTTAGTATATAGTTTACTGCCCTGAAACACTCCTAGTTCTGTTCAGTGATGTCTCACGAGCGCCACGGTACCCCCCATGTATAGGTTTTATGGGGTTTTGGAAAGTTACAGGGTCATATATACGGCTTATCCATTTATGCTTTATTACATTGAAATTTGGCAAAGTGATTTTCTGGGCCTATATCGCATTTGAGAGAGCATGGCAGCCTGGGTAATAACATTTCCACAATTATGGCATACCATTTTCAAAAGTAGGTAACCCAGAGTATAACAAATGGTGCATTTTAAGATGTTTGGTCTAACCACTTTATCAGAAATGAAGGGCCCACTTAGCGGTTATAGCTTTATTTGTGCTTTTTCACACACATGAACTCACTTTTCACATGGCCGGTGTATAGTCGCCATATGGGCAGTCGGACTCCAGGACAACCCTCCCACATACCTAACCCAATAATCGCACTGACACTCGGGTATATGGGAAAATTTGTCCACAGCTTTATTAAACAATCTTAAATAATAATAACAATATATTAATAGTAACATAATAATAATAACTTAACAAATAAACATGGGTCATTGCCCCCATACTCCGCCCTCGCATCCGACTCCTTCTGTTATATAAAAAGGCAATGACCCCCATATAAATAGCACATATATATATATATATATATATATAACACATATATATAACATATACCGACATTATTCCAACATACCAACTTAAAGTGCCAAACATAAGTTAACCATGGCAGGGGTATACCCGGATACCCCTACCCCACCCGGTTCTGAACCACCAATGACCACAGTTTCCTTTTCTGCCACGTTCATCCTAGGGAGCCTATTCCTTCTCCTTCAGCTCCCTATCCCGCCACAAGCTCAGACCTTGATCCCTTTAGCTGTCTGAGCTCCGCCACCACGAAGAAATTGCGCTCTCTGCATTCCTTCCTGCCAACATAAGTTCAGGAGATCCCATCACACCGCCGAGAGATGGACTCCATCCGAGCGGTAATACCCTGGCAGCCCGCCTTCCAACTCACCATGCCGCACAACTACTCCCCCGACTTTTCTCACAAAGCTCGCCATCAAACTGTTCACTTTTTTCCTGCACTTATCAATAGCCACTGGGTCCCGTGCGTGCCGCCACCGACGCCTCGGGACCATCTCTGACCACACTAGCATGATCCTGGGAAGCAGGTCCCTCAATTTGTTGAGGTCCTGCTTCATCCACTTCACCAGCCGTCGTTGCGGCATGAGGCCCAAGTCATTGCCCCCCGCATGTAGAACCAGCATGTCTGGCGCCTCCCCACTCACTATCCTTCGAAACACAGCCCCGCAAACTTCCCCCCTGCTGAACCCCCTGAACCCAAACCATTGCACTGCCAACTGGTCCCACACGGAAAGCCCAGCTGCTGGCCCTGGGCTCGAGCTGCAGCCCTCCTTGCGGCCCAGAAGACAAAGGAATGGCCAACGATCCATGCAACACGGCCTGGGAAGGAGAAGAAAACAAACAATTAAATAAACATATGGGGAGAGAAAAACCCCTCCCCCACCCCTACCGGGATCCCCCTGATACAGCAAATTATTTTTTTTTTAATCCAGTAGACCCAACCGCACATAGGAACGGAACCGCACCGACTCCCATCTCCCTATCCGCTTCACTACCTCATCCCCAAGACCCAATCGTGCGGCCTCCGTGGCCGCCCCAATGCGAAAGGAGTGTGTTCCAAATCTATCCGCCCGTAGCCCCATCCTCACGAGGCCCAACCGAAAGACCTTACCAACTTGAAATCGTGAGAGGGAAGAGCCATCCGCATGCACTAGTAGGGATCCCCCTACCGCCGGTCTCCGGGCCATGTACTCCGCCACCGCAGCCACCGGGCACAGTGCTGCGCCCGGCAAGGCCCGTAGTGTCACATCCCGGCCTCTGCCGGTGGCGTCCGTTTTGGATGTTGCCAGGTGCGCCACCAACTTTCCATCCATAACCCGAACCCCCGATACCTGTAAACCACCGGGCACCGCCCTAGCAGCGCTCACCAACTGCCCTATCCGGAATGCCCCGAAAAAGGCCAACAGGAACGCTGCCTTGAACAAAGACGCCTCAAACTCGTCGAAACAAACCTCTGGTAACATTCCGACCAAAGCCCCCAGCAGCCGCACCGACACCGGGCGCCTAGTGTCCGGCCGCCTGCGGCCCCTCCGATACCCTTTCAACGCCTTCCTGATAACGAAGGTCTTGGTAAGATCCTCCTTCCCGTGCAACCTAAACCAGAAACCCAACGCCGCCATGGACCTGTCAACCACTGCCGGGGACAACCCCTTTGCCAGCAATTGACACGTGTACCACAGAAATGCGTCCCCGAGTGACTCCCCCGCAACTACGCGATCTAGCCCTTCCAACGACCGTTCCCAAGAGCTTACTGTAGGCGGCCCACGTGGCCGGTGCCAGGGAAGCCTTCACAAGTCCCCCAAGCAGGATGCTCCCAGCTGCCATATCTCATCCGGGCACGCTTGACCCACTTCCAATGCCTCTGGCGCCACCGCTCGGAATCGGGACCACTGAAAACGAGACAAAGCGTCAGCCACGTCGTTCAAGTACCCGGGAACATGGCGCGCGCGAAAAACTACGTTATATAACATACACCTTAACACTAGACACCGCAGCAACCTAACCACCGGCTTGGAAGCCGCAGACTGATTATTCACTGCATGCACCACCGCCATGTTGTCGGAGAAAAATACCACCTTTCGGTCCCGCAGCCCCTCACCCCATAGTGCCATCGCGACGACCAACAGAAACAACTCCATAAAAGCCAGGTTGCGCATGAGGGGACTCGACCCCCACGCTTCCAGCCACTTTTCCGCACACCATCTGCCCCCAAAGTACGCCCCGAAACCTACACTACCCGACGCATCCGTGAACAGTTCCAACTCTGCCGCCGCCATGCCCTCCTGCCGAAAGAACACCGTCCCGTTAAAATCCCTCAGGAAGGTGTCCCATGCGCTCAAGTCGGCCCTCATGGCCGCAGACACCCGAATAAAATGGCGTGGGGATCGAACCCCCGCCGTAGCAGCCGACAGGCTGCGGCTGAAGACCCTACCCATGGGTATCACACGGCACGCGAAGTTCAGCATGCCAATCAACGACTGCAGCTGCCGCAAAGTGACCTTGCGCACCCGTGCCACAGCCGCCACCACCCCCTTCAGTCCCTCCAGCTTCCCTTGAGGCAGCCGACACTCTCCCCGAACCGAGTCTATCTCTAACCCCAGAAAACTAAGGCACGTCACCGGGCCCTCCGTTTTATCGGCTGCCAACGGAACCCCGAAGCGGCCCGCCACCCACTCAATCGTCCGAAGTATGTGCAGGCACGCGGAGGAGGCGGTTGGCCCTACACAGAGGAAATCATCCAGATAGTGCACTACCGAACCGCTCCCAGCTTCAACCCGCACCACCCACTCGAGAAAGGTGCTAAATTTCTCGAAGTAGGAGCACGAGATGGAACAACCCATGGGGAGGCATAAGTCCACGAAATACGCCCCCTCGAAAAAACACCCCAGCAAGTGATGACAATCCGGGTGGACCGGCAGCAACCGAAATGCGGCCTCGATATCCACCTTAGCCATCAGAGCCCCGCGCCCGGCCCGTTTTACCAGCTCGACCGCCCGGTCGAATGATGCATACGAGACCGAGCACAACTCCTTGTCAATATCGTCATTCACCGACTCCCCCTTCGGGTAGGATAGGTGGTGAATGAGCCTGAACTTCCCCGGTTCCTTTTTCGAAACCACCCCAAGGGGGGAAACCCGCAGGCCCTCCAACTGGGGTACCGGGAATGGACCTGCCATCCGACCCAGCCCAACTTCCTTGCCCAGTTTCTCCCGTACCACACCCGGGAAGTCCTTGACCAACTTCAGGTTGCGCAGTCTCCCCGCCCCCCCCCTCTCCCGGAATGGGATAAAAAACCCTTGCCCGAAACCCGCCCTGAGTATCGCGGCATCTGCCCTGTTACCGTAGCGGCTTAGCCACGGCTCCATCGCGTCTAGCCTCACCGGGGTTAAACCCCGTGGCAGGGGGCGTGCCCCCACTGGCCGCGGCAGAAGCCCCGGCAACTCCCGACTATCCTTTCTCAAAACACCGATTGAGCCCGTGCGCGCCCCCGCAGCCGGAGCATTCATGCTTAAAGCGGCATGTGGTCCCCCATTTGCACTGGCCATCGTTAAAGAACCAGCATAAGCCCTTTTGAAAGGCGGCCGACGAGGCGGACTGCCCCTTAGCGCCGGCCGTGTGTTGAAAGGGCTGCGCCTTCTGCGCCATCATCAGCTTCATACAGAGAGGCAGGTCCATTTGATCCCACCTCATACCCGGATTCGCCGCCAACTGCTGCCTGAACTGCTCATCGTACCGCCACCAGGCTAACCCCCATAGGTGCGGTACGCCTCCCAAATTCCGTCCAAGTAGCAGAACAGGGACGAGCATAACCCCGGAGATTTCTCCCCAAGCACGCTAGCCAGCACACAAAATGCCCTCAACCAGTTACCAAACGATTTCGGAATCTTACGATACCTCTTCCGTTTCTCTTCCTCCTCCTTCTTCTCGTCCTTTTTATCATCCTCCTTGAGGTCAATAAAGTCCTCCAAGGGGAGAAGAGAAAAAATCTCGCAGAACTCACCTTTCCATATCCTCTCTTTTACCTCCTGCTTAAGGTGTACCCCCAGCGGGCCCGCGAATGACACATATGCGTGCTGTCTAGCCGCGTCGGGAACACCCCCACACAATTCCGCCCGTTCACCCCCCCGTATCCGTTGTCTCTGCCGTCGTCCCAGCATCACCGCCGATGCTAGGCCCCGCGGACATCCCTACACTAGCACCCGCGACCCCCGCACTGTGAGCCCACACCGGGCCTACGCTGCCCCCTTTGTCACCCCCCGCTCCCAATGAGTGGAGTAGCGCTTGAAGTGTGTGTACTAATGCGCTGGAGTGCAATGACTCGCTGGACTCACCGGCCAAGCCCCCTGTTCCCAGAGCGGCAGGGGCTGCATCGTCCAACACCCGGCGTCCAGGATGAGCGACATCCGTAATCGTCCTGCCAACCGGGGAGCCCACCCGGTGCCTCGCCTGTACAGCTGGAGAACGGCTCCGAGACCTGGAATTAGGAGAAGTCCTGGGTAGGGGGTACTGAGCCCGTGCTCCCCTCCCGTCCCGACCTTGGGAGCGCCTGCCAACGCCCGAAACCTCCAGCTGCATGCCCCGTCTGCTCTGCGCCCGTGAGCCCCTGGGACTACGACTCCTCCCGCCCGTACATGGGGACCGTCCCCGCCGACCGAGCCTGGGGGTCACCGCACCACCTCTAGCCGGGCTACCAGACCCAGATCGGTGCCGTCTGGATCTACCTACCATCCCCCCAGACCCTGTGGCCCTAACCGGTGAAGGACTATTACTCTCCTGCCCTGAACTAGACCCCTCCCTACTACTACGCGCCTCAGACTGGCCAGGCTCTTGGGGTGAACCCTGACCCCCCCCCGGGCGGGCCCCGGCTGGGGCCCCCTGCACTTGCCTGTTGGCCCAGGGGCCGGCCGCGTGTCTTCCCGGATCCGGCCCCGTCCTCTGCGACCACCGATGGGGTAGGAGTCCTCCTGGGCTGCCCCTCCGTGCCTCCCGACCGTCCTGGGGGCCGTCCGCGCACCTCCACCTCGGGAGCCGCGGCACCCCCGTCCATCCGCCTCCGGGCACTGCTCCTAGGCCCCGGCCGCTCGCAGGGAGGCGGGGCCTCGACCACGCGGCTGCCGGGCCTGTCACTGCTCACCCCAGACGCCACTGGAACACTCCGCCCACCGTCACTGGGCCCCACGCCCGGACTCAGCCGTCTGGGGGGCCTCCTGGCCCGGACCGGCCGCCCCCGTCCCGTTCCCAGTCAGCACCCTGCAGTCTCCCCGCCGACCGGATCCCCTCCAACAGCCGCTCCACATCGTCCATCAGCCCTGCAGGGAGACAAAAAAGGGAAAAAAACCCACCAGGCCGAATCTGGGAACACAGAAGTGAACACAAACTCAGTCAGGTAGGAAATTAGAAGTGAGCTCACCTAAAATGGCTGCCTATTTAAATAGCCCAGCCTACTTACCCATAAATCCATACTTCCTTCCCTCCTCCTAATGCCTGCCTCCTAACCCCTGTCAAGGCCCTTTTTCGCTTAGCTGTGCTTTGGCTACATGGGGCTACAGGACATTTCATATTCCTGATATGAGTTATTGCAACAAAGCCTCACTATTTGTATTTAACATTATCTCCTGAATGTAACAGTACCCCCTTGTACTAGATTTTTTGGGGGGAAGTCACGGGGACAAAAATATTAGATGTCCTTTTCAAAGTTGGCAATTTGACAAAGTGATTTTCTGCGTCTATCTCGCCTTTGAGAGAGCATGGCAGCCTGGGTAATAACATTTCCACTATTATGGCATACCATTTTTAGGCAACCCAGAGTATAACAAATGCCATTTTAACAGAAATGCTGGGCCCATGTAGCGATTTCTAATTTTATTTTTGTCTTTTTAATCAGATAAATTGCATTTTCACTGGAAAGGTCATAATCCTGATATTAGTTAGTGCAATAGAGACTTGGTATTTCGATTTAACACTGTCTTCTGAATATAACTGTACCCCCATGTACTATTATTTCAGATTTGTCTGATAAGTCACAGGCCGAAATATATTAGATGCCCTTTCAGCTTGTAAGTTTGTCAAAATTATTTTCTGGGCCTATGTGGCTTTTCAGAGAGTATGGCAGCATGGATAATAACATTCCCACCGTTATGGCAAACCATTTTCAAAAGTAGGAACCCCAGAGTAAAACAAATAGCATAATTTGAGATGTTTGGTCTAGACATTTTAACAGAAATGCTGGGCCCATGTAGCAATTTCTACTTTGATTTTTGTCTTTTTAATCAGATAAATTAAATTTTCACTGGAAATGTCATAATCCTGATATTTGTTAGTGCAATAGAGACTTGGTATTTTGATTTAACACTGTCTTTTGACTATAACAGTACCCACATGTACCATGTTTCCAGGTTTTTATTATATCACATGAATAGAACAGTACCCCCACATACACTTTGATCTGAAGGCAGAGAGATCTTTGATAGCACAGAGAGTCACTGTGTGAAAAGTTTGAGAAGTAAAAAAAAAACCAAAAAACTATTTTTGGTAACCCTTTCAATGCTAATCACAGCATTAACCCTTTGATTAGTTTTTTATTGGGAAGACACATTTCAAGTACTACAAATGTAGTATTTTGAGTTGTTTGGTGTAGCCACTTTAGAATGGCTAGCGTAAACAGGGACAGGCCAAGGTCAGGGGAATCCAGAAGTCAGAGTAGTCGGTAAAACAAGCCAATGGGTCGGTACAGGCAGCTTAGAAAGCGTAGTCAGGACAGGCCAAGGTCAGAAATCCAGGGAAATCAAGCAAACTGCCAAAGTCCCATACAGAGTGATTCAGAAGTTCAGCTCTGTATGGTAGACTTTGAAACAGTCTGTTATGCAGAGGGCGGGTAGAGATGGGCAGGTTGGGCAATAATAACTGGAGTCCATTCGGACTCCTTTCTTGTAGCAAACACGACACTTTCTTTGGGGAGCTTTTTTACTAGGGGTGGGTGGGATTCGGGAAGGGAAGTGTTTGCCACAAAGTCTTTGGAGGTCTCGTGATTCCAAAGTGGGATTGGGGGGCTGGGTAAATAATATACGGGACAAAAGGCTTAATGTGAATTCAAGGAAAGGGCAGGGCCTACCTATGACCTCTTTTGTATAGAGGACATAGGCATTGAAAATTGCAATCTGGCTCATGTAAATTGCAATTTTCTTGTACCAGGTCCTAGTTTTTCATTTCACCAGATAGGGTTGTATACATTGGTCAGCCAAGTCTACTCCCCCCATAAACTTGCTGTAGTCTGCAATGCACTTCGGCTTTTCCAGATGCTCAGTGCTACCTCTCACAGACACTGGCACTGTACTTTCGTCGTGCATAGTAGACAGCATGTATACATCTTTCCTATCACTGAAGCGAAGAGCAAGCAACTCATCCTGGTGGAGAGCTGAAGAGGAACCTCTACTGCTTCTGCCTCTTGCCAGGGCTTGGGGGAAACCCCTGCGATTCTTCCTCACTGTGCCACAGGCTAGGGTTTCAAAGTAACATACATTTTTAAATAATTCAATACTGGTATAATAATTGTCAACCCATAGCCTATATCCCTTATTCAACAAGGGAAGGATTAGATCCCAAACAGTCTTGCCACTTGTACCCACAGAATCAGGGCATCCTGGTGGGTCAAGATGGCTATCCTTCCCCTGGTAAAGGCGAAACGCCCATGTGTAACCAGTACAGGATTCGCATAATTTATAAAATTTAACGCCATATCGGGACCGCTTAGATGGAATATATTGCTTAAATAGCAGTCGACCTTTAAATTTCATAAGGGACTCATCAATTGAAATTATCTTTATCGGGGACATAATTTTCAGAAAATTTGTCTGACAGGAGTTGGATAAAGGGCCGAATTTTATAGAGCCTGTCAAACAGTGGGTCGTTTCTAGGGGGACACAGTGCGTTATCATTAAAATGAAGGAATTGCAGCAGTTGCAGGTAGCGATCCCTCAACATAACCTCAGGGAAAAGAGGGGTAGCCAGGATGCGTTGCTTGCTCCAGTAGGACCTGATACTGGGCTTTTTAACAATACCCATCATTAGGGTTAAAGCCCAAAACCGCTTCATCTCTGCGACATCCGTGGGTCTCCACATATTCCTGCGACCATGATGGGACCCCGGATGTGCAGAGAGATACTGCATGGCAAACAAATTGGTTTGCTGAGCCATGAGCTCAAATATATTGTCTGATTTAAAGAGCTAAAAAAAACGAAATGGCTCGCAGTTGTCCACTGTTACAGTGATGTCAGGTGTAACAGTGAACGGCGGTATTTCTGGAGCCATCATGTTTAAAGGCACCCAGTCTCCGTCTGGCATTGCTGAGCGTCCTCTGGTGAGTGGTGGTGGGGCACCATCACTTGAGTTCTCACTCAGAGGCTCAATGTCAGAGGCAGTGATAGTGTCACTGTCTTGCAGAGTTTCACTATCACTGCCTACCAGAATGGCATTTGCCTCCTCGGCTGAGTAGCGACGTGCCATTCTAGGGGGACAAATTAATTAATTTATATACTAAGGGGGTAATTAATTATCTACCTGCCTAACACCTACTACACGCCCTCAAAAAATAATATAAATGTACTGATCACAGTTAGAGATGTCGCGAACCGTCCGCGAACATCTCGCGAACGGTTCGTGGCGAACTCCGGTCAGCTGACACGTCCCGGCCAATCTCCAGCAGACCCTCCCTTCAACATGGATGCTGTCCAGGAAGTAGGAGGGTCTGGGAGGGAGGGTCTGCTGGAGATTGGCCGGGACGTGTCAGCTGACCGGAGTTCGCCGCGAACAGCTCGTGGCGAACCGCGGCGAACCGTTCGCGAGACGTTCGCGGACGGTTCGCGACATCTCTAATCACAGTGTAGGCAGCTGCAATCAGTACAAATATACAAATAACCCTAAAAAAGGTCAGTCTGATCAGAGAGCCCTTTGATCACAGTGATCACTGATACAGTACTGTACAGCAGATAAACTGTACCGTATAGTGATCACGGCAGCGGGGAAAGGGTTAGGGGAGATTTGGGTTGCTGCGACTGAAACAAAGGTTAAAAAAAACCCCCACCAAAAAACAGAATAATAAAATAAGGATAACACATTAGATATAAGTGACTCTCAGTCTCTCCAAAAAAGTATAATGATAAAGTAAACTAGACAAATAAGTACACAAATAAATAAAACTAGGGTTGGGGGAGGGACAAGGTGACTGGGAGGGGGGTTAGACGGAAATCAATGAGAAAATGCAAAATATTGATGATGACAAAAATACCATGGTCTGAAATATAGAAGCACTACCATACTACACAAGGCAGGTACATGTCTGAATTAAAAAAAAAAACAACAAAAAACATGTAATTAATTTGCCTACCACACAAAGACCCCCCCACCACCCCCCAATTCCCACTTCCACCTACAGAAAACCCAACACCCAACCCAAAAAATAAAATACAATTTACTAATCTCAGATCAAACAGCTGCGACCAGCACTAAAAAAAATATTTTTTTATAGGAAAAAAAAAGCCACCTGATCATTAATACAGTACCATGCAGCACAGATACTGTAAAATAGAATGGTCTGGCATCAGGCAAGGATTGCAAAATAAATCTGCTGTATCTGACAAAAAGAGTCAAATTAATGTTTAAATGTGGACCCCCCAAAAAATAAATAAAAAAATGCAATACCAAGGTACTAAGCCTCTTAATCAGACTGATCAAAGGGTTAATGCTGTGGTCAGCCACTAAAAGGGTTAATAAAATTGTTTTCTTTGTATTTATTATTTGATTTTCACACCTTGTAACTGTGATCTTTCTGTCTCTCTCTCCTCAGATCAAAGTGAGAAGAGAGGGGCAGAGACAATGTCTCATCCAATGTTAAAAATCATGGCTGAGACATTGTTACTGTGATCACGGTGACAGGCTGTCACTGCAATTACGTGTTGCATTTCACCATAATTGGATGCAGTGGGACTGCCTGCGTTGCCAAACAGGACCCGAGCGAGATCTGCTGCATGAGAAAGGGGGTGGACTGCAGGGAGGGCTAAATCGTTTGGGCGTGCTATACCCCACTAACGCAATGTAAGCACGCCTACTGCAGGACGGCATAGCACGCCCTAAACGTGTGAATGGGTTAATGTTGCGGCTGATCAGTGCCTCTCTCTTACTGCTTCCAACTCTCTTTGACTATTCAGTGAGGAAATACCTGACAGTTATAGATAAAAGTTGTCATGTTTGTTTATGCAGTTTTCCAGACATTTCTAATTTCTAATCTATGCCATTATTTGCACAAAAATATTCTTTACTGCACTTCTAAAATAATTGTTGCCTTGTTCCATTTTTTTCAAAAATTATTTGGTTTGTTTGCTTCCACTCTACATGTTTTCTGAGAGGATTAGAAGTAAAATGATGGCTATGGTTAAGAAACACTAATCTCAGCCCAAACCCTAAACTTAAAAAAAGTTAATTTACAGATTCATAACAATGAAGTGTGTATTATTGGAATGATGAATGCCATCTGGTTTATTAACCCCCTTCAGGACGGAGTCAATAGTGCACGTTCTGATCAAAACAAAACGTAAACAAAAACTGGAATTTGCGCTATATGTCTGTCCAACCATAATTCACCGCTGTCACATTAAGTGCACCCACACTTATAACATATAATTTTGTTCAGGGCTTTAATTTATCATTAACTATTCATATATGAAACATAATTTATTATGAATAAAATTTAAAAAAATGTGAGAAAATAAGATTTTTTTATTTAAATTTGAATTTCCGTCTGTCATTTTAGCTGTGAATGTCATAATACTGTTAGGTTTTACTGCAAAAAAATGCACATATTTGTTATCAGCGATGTCTCACGAGTACAACAGTACTCCCCATTAACAGGTTTCATGGTGTTTTGGAAAGCTACAGGGTCAAATATAGAACGTTCCATTTTCACACTGAAATTTGCCAGATTAGTAATGTTACCTTTGAGACGGTGTGGTAGCCCAGGAATGAGAATTACCCCCATAATGGCATACCATTTGAAAAAGTAGACAACCCAAGGTATTGAAAGTGGGGTATGTTTAGTCTTTTTTTAGTAGCCACTTAGTCACAAACTTGGAAAGATGAAGAGGGGGTCAGGATTCCAGCGATAGCCAGTTTAGCTCTTATAATATTTTACAATGGTGGGTCAAGTAATTACATTGTAGCACAAAGTGGCAGAATGAATTATACAATGTATTATGTTTATGAAGGTGATTTTACAGTGCAGATGCATGCTCTACATACATAATCAATGACTGGCATGAGCATTTGCTGTACAATCTTTTCCTTTACTGTGGGGCGTAGGCAGGGTTTGTTTCTGTACAGGGCATCTAGATTTGGATAAAGTTTTGATGAGAGTTTTTAAGTGTGGGTGCCAAAAGATAGATTGGGTTCTTGCAACATACCCAAGTATTTGAAAGTATAGACTGAGATCATTAGGTTATTTGATTTTGTTCAGATGCATAGATGGGAATCTTGTAATTTGTGTAATTTAGGTACAGTTCCAAAGATCATTGTGATAGTTTTGTCAGTGTTTTGGAAGGGTTTTATCCACAAACCACTTTTCTACCTCTGTGAACTGGTCTTGGATAATAGCCCCAAGTTGCGGTAGATTGCGTTGTCTGGGTACGTGTGTACAGTTGAGGCTTTGCAGATGTTAGGCAGATCATGTATGAATAATGTGAATAGTAGGGGACAGAGTAGGGAGCATTGTGGAACACCTCACTTGACTGGGAGATGGAATCTATGTAAAAAATGGACACATATCCAAAACATATGATTTAAACCAGGTTAGTGGATTATCACCAATAGCTGAGTTTATGCAGTAGAATACCGTGATCTACTGCATCAAAGGCCTTAGTAAAATCAAGCAAAATAGCTCCAGTTGGGTCTCCTTGTTGCATGCCAGTTTGGATGTCAACCATATGACTTCACCATCCACTACAGGCCCGGTAAACAGAATGGAAATGCTGACGGGTTGTTCCTACAGACCGAACTGTTAAAGTGATCTGTGGGCCCTCCCCCGGACATCTCCAAGCTGATCCGTTGGGATCAGACTGTGTATGCCAGCTTGTGGTTAAGGGGCAGCTGTGTGACGGGACCACTGCCGGTCAGTGAATTGCCCTTCTTTATATTATGTGTGTTTTCCCCATCCCTCCCGACAGGGGACCATCCCGATACCCCTATTTAGAATGTTAGTTTAGAACCTTGACATCTCGCAACATAAGTATCAAACCGCAAGGGAAACAAAGGTGGGCGGCCACCTTTGGAACAGAGTGCAGACAGAGTGTTTCTGACTTGATTAGTTTTTTGGTTGCTACTATAGCACGTTCCCAGTGGTCTTTACTTATGTGGCATTGTAGGTCTTGTGCCCAGTGCTTGGCTGGGTTAGAGTCTGCAAAGTGTTGTGTGGGTCGGAGAAGCTGATAACACCAAGATAGTGGCTTAAACGCTAGTGCCCATAAACCCTTGGTGGTCGTCTGTTCCCATTTTGTCATAACGAAAGAGCTTTTGTCTGGGGTGGAAGTTTTTTCTGTGTGTTTATGCATAAACGATCTTAGTTGCATGTGGGAGAATTGAGAGGCCACCGGTATGTGATATTCTTCTTGTAGGGCTGGAAAAGTTTTTAGTTTGTTATGTGCGAGCATTTGGTGCAGGTGTGTGACCCCGTTAGTTATCCATGGCTTGGCATTAAAGGTTGGGATACAATATGTGATAGTGTTAAGCGGGGTGGCTGGTGATAGGGGGGTATGGGTTGTTAGCTTGTGTCAAAGCTTATCCCAAGCTTTTATTGCTATTTTCATCTGTGTTGGCATCTGTGGCACTTCTGGCCTAACCCTATTTGGAAGCCACAGTATGGTGGGTACGTCAAAGGGCTTAATAGCTAGTTTTTCCATTTGCACCCATTTCGGTAGAGCCGTGTTTGTGAAGTGGGGAAGGAGTGCTGCTAATATCGCTGCTTGGTAGTATGTCTTAATGTCCGGTAAGGCGAGGCCACCCTGTCTCACCGGTGCTCGTAGCAGTGTTGCCTGTACCCGGGCCCTTTGGCCCCCCCACACAAATCTGTTAATATCTTTTTGTGTTTCTCGGAGGTAGGATACAGGTACCTGGATCGGTAAGTTGCGAAACAAGTATTGGAGCCTAGGGAGTATGGACATTTTGATGGTTGCTACTCTCTCGGTCCAGGTCAGAAACAAGGTGCCCCATCTCTTCATTAGTTGACGACAGTCTCCCCACACCCTAACATAGTTAGCAGAAAACATCTCTGTAGGGATTTTTGTGAAGGTCAGTCCTAGGTATTTTATTGTATCTGTTCTCCACTCAAAAAGATGTTCCTCTTTGAGGGCAGTCAGTGTTCATTGGCTAAGCCGCACTCCCAGCGCCTGTGTCTTCCTGGCATTAAGAGAGTAGTATGACATCGTCCCGTATTCCCTTATGAGGTCTGGAATAAGTGGGATCGACTGTTCAGGTTCGGTGACACAGAGGAGGATGTCATCCGCAAATGCGTTAATTTTAATTTCCCTTCCATGCAGCTCTATTCCCCTGATACCCGCCCGATTCCTAATTTGGACCAGTAATGCTTCTAGGGCCAAGACATATAATAGCGGCGATAAAGGGCATCCCTGCCTTGTACCATTTGTTAGAGGGAACAGGTCTGAGATGAAGCCGGCTTGTAGCACCCGGGCCGTGGGGCCTGTGTATAGGGCAAAGATCTGCTTGATAAATTCGGCGGGATGTCATATTTTAGAAGTGTG